ACACGAGATCTAAGCTCCATTCAACCGCACATGTGTGGAGTTAAGGGAGAATCGTCTTGTTTTCCTCGATTAAAAACGCGCAATCAGCGACCACGACCTTTCGAATAAACTCCACGTATCATTCAACAACTCCCCGATCCAACGAAAATGGTCGTAAACCTGTTTCCGATCCGCGGTCATATAATTCTTTTGATTCCTCGTACAAGTAAGACCCATCGGTACCACCAACCGAAACAGGTTTATACATATTTTTGGTCCGTCATCCTGTCGCGTCGTCGCCCAAATGCATGAATATACAAACCCTAAGGAGATGGAAAAACTCGTTCCCCTGATTTCTTCCTCTCTCTCTCTCTCGATCTCGCTTCTAGCATCTTCATATTTCAGCTGCATAGACGATCACGAGCTCAATACACTTCTCACACCAGCCCAAAAAGTCGAGGACTTCGTGAACGCGTCATTTCCCACACGTCACCCGCAGAGAGACAGATCCGCGAGCCATTCGGTCAATTTTCACCGGCTATCGCATAGTTTCGCGCAAGCAAAGGATACGGAACAAAAAGTCCCCGTGATTTCTAGCGGTGTACAGTTGTGCTGGTGGTGGTACGAGAGCAGTGCACCGCTGTCGTGTAATTATCGTTCGGCGATCAAGGCCACGCGGCTCGCGAGTAGCGCATAACTTTCGACTCGCTCCACTCGGCTCAGCGCTACATGCATGTGTAATACTCGCGTCTACGTTTGCTCGCAGCTCTCTCGCCCCGATAATAAAGATAACGTTCATGCCCTGCTCGGGCCGATTTCATTTCCACCGGTACACATGGGCGCTGGTCTCCTCGCTCGAGTTGAGCTCTGCTGCTGCTGCTGCTACGTGCATCATAACACACACGTGAGGCATTTGTAGGTACACGAGTACCATTTTGCCTCGGCGGATTTGATTATTCCCTCTTTTTTTTTTTATTTACTCGAGGAATTTACTGTTAGAGAGATGCGTGTGGGACTTTTTTTTTAAACGAGGACCGATCCAGGGCGAGGATTTTTCCGGGAACGGAGATGGTTGCATCTCGGATTAATTTCACGTACATGAGTATACACGTATTTTTTTTTCCCATCTCTGTCGTTCCCGGTAAACTTGTGGACCATAACCAGTCATTTCCATTCGACGACGTACAATAAATTTCGTCGGCTCTGCGTCCAGTGCGCGGCTTTCAACGAGCCTTGCTTAACGAAAAGATTTTCCGATTTCCCCCCGGCCACCGTGGCGGCCGTGTATTGTATACACAAGTTACGGAATCCGAGATGGAAAAACGACGCTAAGAATCGAGCCGTGGCTTACGTAAATCAGTCCTATACGTCGCCGAGTTTTTGTACTCCTTCCGATGTCTTTGTTTTTTTTTCTTCTCGAATCAACCGGTAGGCACTGTATGGTATGGAAATCGATTGTACACGCACTGCGTGGGACCCGTTTCGAGCGTCAAAACAACCATTTCTGCATATGGTTGCGAAACCTGCAACGTGTGCGAGGTAAACGCGCGAGAGAGTATCGCGTGTGCGATGCAAACGGAGCTGAAAAATCGTCGACTAACGAGGTGTCCACGATTTTCCGCAACGCAGTTACGAGAGTTAAGGCTCGTGGATAATGTATCAACAGCCTCCTGACGCATCGTGGACTCAAACTGAGCGTATATAGCTCGATGTGGCCGGTTATCGCCGGGGTAACGATACCGAACGTAACGATAAACGATTTCTGTAAACAGTGAATCGCCGCCCGTAATACGTGTATACACAAACGAGTTTCGTGGCTCGTCCCACCTCCAATTAACTTGGCCTGTAGTGTGTGCGGTCAGTGCTAGTAATGAATTTAATTGTGCCTCCATCCCGAGCTCGGATGCGAGCATTATCTGCGCCACCCGGAAGCGCATCAGCGCCGAGGCTCCTCTCCTTCTACGAACCGCGGCTATCGGAGGAGACGACGGTCCTACCACTGGAAGGATCGCGAGCCGAAATCGTTCGAGGCGTATTTACGTGTATTCTGTTGCTCTCGTTTGTCTTATCGCTCGCGTGCTCCGTGGGTGTGATCGCGCCGCGGGAATGTCGTGGGTTACTCCACCGAGGCGTGTGTACCACAGCTGGTCTCGTCGCACGGCATAATGGGATACTAAGCGCCGGATCGATTTCTGTGTTTGTACGACGCGATCGTGGGCATTGTTACACCAGATGGGTTGGATAAACGAGATCGTGCCGGGAGCATTGAGTAGCTCGCACGCGTGTCGATCGCCATGGAATCACGATACAGGTTTTCATACTCGAGCCACGTATAGGTACAAATTAATACTGTTCCGGCAATTTGTTCGGGATGACTCATCCGCCGCACGGCTGTGCGTACGAGTGATTAAAAAAAATTTTTTTTCTGATGCAAATGACCATATGGTCATATGATCATCGTAATTTTCCTCCACACCGAAAAACAGGCCATGTACATATACATGCCCCATCGACAAAGGCGGTGCATGAAACGCAGCTCTGGTTAATCACGGTGTATTAAGTGTGCCGAAGCCGAGCGAGCGCCGCGCGCAAACATGAGTGCAATCGACGCCGGCCGATGGACCCGCGGCAGCGTGACGCGAGCGGAGCGGCGCGTAACGTAACGAGCAGCCCGCCACTCTGCGCTGGTATACACATAATACCCGGGATGTAAGGCAACGCCCGGCGTGAATTCTCTTTCCACTCGGTGCCCATGTGTGCCTTCGTCCTGTAATACCATCGTCCGCCTCTTCTGGCCTACGGGTGTATGATATACATGCATGCCCAGCCAGAACTGGTGGATGGATGCAGGAGTTGGGGCTTTGCTCTTACTTGGACCTCCTCGAGGTGTTACCACGCTTTCTGTATAACTATTTTACAGGATTCCGATGTAGTGTGAACTAAAACCGAACGGCGGGCAGGGATTTATCGAGTATGTCGGTCTGTTTGTTTGGTGTTATGCGGAAATTACAGTATCAACAAGGTGTGACTTCATAAATTATGAATATGCATTTCTGGTAATAAAGTCGTTGGGCAAAATTGATGGCACACGATGTATCCCCCTTGGAAAGGGATAATTTTCAAGTGACTTGTACTACTTATTTGCAATTGGTCTGACGATGTTTTTGCGTATAATTAAGGATATTGAGTTCCAGAAGAGGCTGCTCCATCTTTTTCCCTTAACGGGAAAAAATTACGCGTTTTATCGAAATAGGAAGCTAGAGCGCGCGCTGGTTTTCAAGGCGTACCCGTGTAATTGCGATTGACTCCAGCGACAAGTTTATTCATAACGCAGTTGCCAGACATCGTCCCCCAATTCGGTTCATTAGCCTCGTAATTATTCAGCTTCCTAATCCGATTATAAATCAGCCACGGTCGCGAATCGAAGGAAGATGCGCTGCAGAGAGAAGTGGCGGAACTGGCCTTACCTCTGCGAATTCCGTTGCTCAGGAATCTTATAATTGACATCCTATCCTCTTTTTTGTCTTCGTTCTCTCTCTTTCTCCCCCTTGCCTCGTTCTTTGAGAGCTGCAGAGCTTCCTTGCAGCCTCTCCGTTGCACGGGATATATTACTCTCTTTCGCTCGCTGCTATTTTTAAGAGCTCCATAATAGATAAGAGGAGGGCTAGCGCTCCGCGCGTAAAATTCCGCCTCTAATCGCTCGGCAACTCTCTCCCCGGCTACTTTTTTTTTTGCTCATCTCTCACCCGCGGCTATGGAAAACCTGTTTAGAATATTCCCCGTGTACCACCGTATTTCTGCTCATCGCCGCGTGTCATAAATGAGAAACAGTCCTGAAAATTCCTGAAATGAAGCTTGGGCACTTGGCTGGGAGATTTTCAATTATGCGGAAGATGCGAGACGCGTGAGGTGCCGGTGCGAGCACACACACGCGAGAAGACAAATGAAGTCACGACTTGGCATCCTCATTCTAATTGCGATGGTATCAAGCAATCACGGGATTCCCCGCGTATTTGAGTGAATTTAGAGAGGTGCCCATAATGACACGAATTTTTTCGAAATCGAAATGACTTGTGGTAATACATAATATGTTGCTGATTCTTTGGCATTGGGGCCTGAGTTGCAAAGTTATTTCTCATGTACACAGTCCATACGTCTGTTAGTAGAAAAATGATGTATCACTTGCGCTATTTTAATTACCAGAGGATAGCATAAATTCAGAAGTCAGCTGAAATAACCCCGCAGGCATATACTTTAATCAGACGAAACGATTATTCAAAAGTTGTATCGCAAGTGGTTACAATCAAGGTATTGAAATTCTAGATTCGAGCGGCGAGTTCAAATTTTTTGATCTCCTGCGTGTGCAGATAATGCGAAATCGATAAGGGCTGGGTAGTATCAAATGTTCATACGGTACAGAAGAGGATGACGTGGCTAGTCAGCACACACGGCGTTCTTACCAGGTGGCGTGGAATGTCTCGCGCGTATCTATATACCCTCCACGGTATTTTTAGAAGGGGGAGGAGAGAAGAAGGAGGGAGAGCCGAGCCTAAGGATCCTGTGTGACCACACCCATGAAGCATGCTAATCTCGGAGTGTCGCCTCCGTATGTTATACCTTTGGTCTATCCAATACTTACTCCATGTTTGTGTACACAGTGAGCATCAAATGACTACTGCTGAAATACCAGACAGTCTCGTGTGAATACACACACTTTTTGTTTTTTGTTTTTATCAATAAGAGGCCATTGGCCGCTGAATCAGCTTCACGTATGTGCGATTGCTTTTACTCTCTTTCGCAATTGGATCACCATTGCGAATTATTTTAATTCGTGGGTGGGGGATAAGTGATGTTTATCTTTTAATGGAGGCGTATCTAATTATTGCATTACTCACTTACCAAAACCACATTCTTACGATTAAACGCATAATATTTTCAAAACGATCATGTATCATAATGTATATCTATGTATTCATCAGTTATTAATCATAGTTGAGATTAACTATCAATCTATCACTCACCATGCGGATGTATTTGCCGATCATATCAGCCAACTGCGTGGCCCGGTTGGTGTGAAGTGGTAATCTGACACCCGATGCTACCTGCAAAGTGCAAACTCCAGCTCTCTGGCAATTGACCGATACTATTTCCTCGAGAGGCAAAGTTTCGATTATAACAAGCTCGCCGCTGTTGCTTTGTTTGATGAGCCTAAGACCGTGATGGGACACGGCAATGTGTTGAACTTCTGGTTGCTGGGGTCCGATCTAAGGTTTTCAATAAATGTTGGAATAAACATCCAAAGAAGTATAGGGTTATTGGTAACCACATTACAATACTAACCGAAACAGGAAATATCCTAGCAAAGTAAAGTGGCCACTGCTTAGCCATGTCAACGATGTTCTTCTTGATTGTTATTTTGTGTTGCGTACTCTGCAAATTGTCCAACGTAACTCCATAATTGTCCAGCATTTTTAGCATATTTTGTCGATCCTCCTTCAGGATTCTAATGTTTGATGTGGCCAAGACATCGTAGGCGACCTGACAGAAGACGAGATGTAAGGCCAGAGGCGTTGTCAAGTTCTCGTTAGGCGTAAACACTTCTTTTTTCACCCTCAACGTCCAAGTGACGCGATTGTACGTGAAATGAGTGCTCGAGGTCTGTGGATAGAGCTTCGTGTCTATGATTTCCTGAGCCTTCTCGATTTCCGGTTTTTCGACCGGCGGCATGACAGGCTTGAGGAATTCTGGCCACTCCTCGATCTCAATTCTCTCCAACTTATCGGTTCTCTGCGTACCCTGACGAGTTAAATTAAGTTGAGATTGCATGACAACAGGAATCTACTTACGAAAAATATGATTATATCTACCATTGTCGAAGCAACGCTGGATCTTCGGTCAGGATCCCCATCCATTTTTTTGAATCCTTGCCTCGTTACAAACGGATCTCTCGTATTCGGTACAACTCCAATATCCCTTGACGAGGGCATGCCGAAACTATCCCTAGATTTGGGCGATACATCTCTCGTCATGCCGAAAGGGTCTCTTTTTGCATTGGCGTTTTCAAAAACTTCTCTAGCGTATTTGGCATCCGAAAATATATCGGATCCGTCCCTGCGCGAGTCAAAGTCCCTAGTGGTGATTGAGCCAAGGTCAGTAATATCACGCGAGTTGTTACCATATTGGTTGAAACTCAAATCAGAATCAGGTGAGGTGCGGAACATGTCACGCTGACCCTTGGGCTCGACAGGTGCTGGTGGCGAACGAGTCTGAGCTAGGCCAGATTGACTGTAAACATTCATTTGCATATTTACAAGTTTGATCAATATTACCTTTTCTCAACAGCAACAAAACATGTCGTCGTAAATTTACGTTTCAATTAATCATGGATGATAAACCGTACGTAAGGACTACATAAATCTTGTTGACGGCACGCGAGATGTTAAATTGTCGCGGCTTGGTGGCGATGTACTTTTCCGGTAAATAACAATTGCCAACTAATCGACGTCACTACAGCCAACAGCACTTACCTGTTAGTAAAGACGCTTCCTCCGCGCGGGCTTGGGGGTTGCGGAGGCGTGATGGGTGGAGGCGGTGGCACCGGTCTTTCCATGCGCTCTATCTGTGTCTTCACAACTTGGGCCTGTGTCATCATGTCGGTGGTACCTTTCGAAGTGACGCTCTGCGTGTCATCGACCGTTGATGCATAATCTTCCCACCTTCCGCCTGGGTGTCATACACATGGAAATAAAAGAAAAATGTACATGCATACTGATGAAGGTTGCTCATGGTGAAAGGAAATTGATTGGAAACAATTCTTTGAGCATATGTGTACAAGATATGCAAGCCTCGAGGCGATATTGCTCGCACAATAGGTACTTTACGCTATAATGTAAGCCGAGGGAATGTATGTACGTGTCGCGTGATTTTATTTCTTGTAGCCGAACTCATGTTGCCTTAATTGAAAGACCATGTAATTTGTTTGGTTATTTTATTGTAAGTCTTTTATGGAAACTAGATGATTTTAGTTTGTTTGAAATATCATTTATCTGATATTACTATTTATTTTATACTTTTTACTATTTTCTTTATTATTATTTTGTACTAAGCAATTTCAAAATGAAACATGATCACTTTTATGGTTGAAACTACCACGACTAATAATTACAAGCTAATGGAAAATTTATAGATTACCTAATTGCTGCTCCAAGAGGAGTCTTCTGTTATCCTCAAGTCGCTTGACTTTACCATCATCACGCAACAAAGCTGGTTTCTCTGTTGTCTTGGTTGATCTGACACTGTGGTTAGCCGTTACCTTTTCGAGCCTTTGGCGCATTTCTGAACTCAATTTGAGTTTACCAATGCTACCAGGTGATGGCCTTTGTGCACCAATTTCATAACCAGATCTGCAAAGTTTTTGTAAAATCAAATAAAGCGATATAGTTTTGTTTTTCTTGTTTAAGGAGATCGCAATGTTCTTATAATGCTTAAAGACTTGTATTGATACATCTAATTGTTGAAATTTGTGTTTGCTCATACATAACAGCATTGCAATCTCCTTAAAACTTGACGTAGTAGTGAATACTGACTTTTTCTTCTTTTTCTTGTCGCTATCCTCTTTGTAACCATTCTCTTGACGCACAACAGCGGCAGCTGCATGCATAACAACGGTTCTCTCATCGTTATTGATAATATTCTCAATCTCAAACTCCTCCCATTCAACACCACCTTCCATCATCGTTTCATTGTCATTTTGTTGATAGTCTGGTTGATATTGAGGAGTGATTTTTCGCATCTGATGCTGTTGTCGCATTTTGAATTCGATAAAGCTGTCTTGGCCTTGGTTTTCGTTGGAGTCACTTGGAGGTGGCCATCTTGAAACAATTGTATTATTAGTAAACACATTCATCTGACTATGAACATTATTCGTTGTCTCTAAAAAGTAATCAAAAAGTAAATTACCTCCATTTTCCAATACGAACAGTCTTAGCTCTTCCATATGGATCTATAAATGGTCGAGACTCTGATGGGTCATGGGACTCAAGTGGTGGAGGCATGGGTGGTGGTGGTGGGACACCTTTGTTTATACTAGCTGGACCTTCAGAACTGCTCTTACGATTTTTCAACTCGCTTAAAACGTTTGTAAAATTATTCTGGGCGTTTGTCTTTCCAGTACCTGGTCGTTTGACTTCAGTTGCATTTACGACCTTTCGTTCAACGCTGATTTTTCGAACACCAAAGTCATCTGACTTACGAGCAGATGGATCGGAAATTTTCTTAGGTGGACTTTGAGAACGATGTACCTGAGCTTTGACAGTCACTGTCTCTTGGCGAGCGCTCATGATGGAGCTCGGTTGTTGAGGAGACGAAGTACGTTTATCTTGTGCCCACATATCCCCATCCTCCTGGAATGATGCCTGTCATTACTCAATAAATTCGTTTTTCGTAGCAATCTTTAAATTTGATTCCTCATACCACAATACTTACGGTGCTATTGTTGTTGTTGCTATTGCTGTTATTTGCATTAGGACTCTGCACTAGTAGTTGTTGCAGAGCTTGATTTTGAGCTAGAAGTTGTTGCTGGATTTGTATGTTTTGAGCCATAGCACTCTGCAAGAATGCTCTCTGCAGATTCTGCTGGTATGCTGCCATGTCGTTATTTTGGCTGGGTGGAGAATTCGGAAACTGAGGAATACTTGGCCCCTGCATATTGAAAATAGGCACGGGCACGAATCCTGGACCCATGTTAATAGTAGGACTCTGAGGAGCTGGAACTTGCTGAGTTGGTCCAAAAATCGGCATCATCATTGGCGATGACATCATTGGACTGTAATTGAATCCACCGTTTTGGTTGGGTATATCCATGTTGCCACCGCCCTTTATCTTTTTGGACAGTTCCTTAGCTGTTATTGTGATTAACGAATCATCTAGAAAAATCAAACGACACACACGTGTTAAGCTCAATAGTAAACCATACGAAATTATCCTCGTGCTGTTGTCACTTACCTCCTATCAGTGAATCGAGAAAATCATCAATGTTTTGAGTCCGTGTACCATTTGAATTCCGCATACCCTTGATACTGGCTGCAAGACTTCTGGCATCTGACAGTTCATCTAGATTTCCATCAAGCACAGGCATAAACAGCTCGTCAAGGAACTGATCTACATCCGAAGCCTGACTGGGCACCCGAACTCTGCGTACATGAGATGCCAAAGATGGAGCCTCGCTGGTGTCTGACATTGCGGAAGATTTTACTCCGTACTCGCTCTTCTCGATGTACGCCCTACTAGATTGACTTCCAGGATGAGCTCGTTTGCCTGGTAATTTACATTGTACTGTAAAGTCGGTTTTCATAGCTAATTTATAAATTAAAATCGGTTGTTCACCTGGATACTGAGATTTGATGAATCTTGTCTGTGACCTGATATAGCTGCTCTTGTCATCCTCGGATCTGCCAGTCTGACTAACCGATTGTATGTCTGGGTACTCGAAGTCTATCGTCAAATCTTCCTCTTCTAGGATATTTGGCTCGGAGCTTCTGGTCATACGACTGTACTTCCTTTCCGGCACTACCTGAACTTCCGAACGGGCCATGTACTCGGAACTAACTACCGTCGATGCAATCATCGGCACCTCGCCGATCCTCTCGAGACTGTGGTAGCGTTCATTTAGCTTGGAAGAGGATAGTCCAAGATCGGCAAGTTTGCTCGAAGCCGAGGAACCGGCTCCACCGATGACATCATTAGAAATGACTTCCGGCTGCAGCAGATTGTCCAGACTGCGACTGCGCTGCTTTTCCTTTTCAAAGTAGCGGTCGTTTAGTGCCGATTTGCGGGACAAGCCCATCTCGGCCGAAGATTCCAGGACGGCTTCATGAGACTGTTTGCGCATCTATTGCCATCAAAACGAACACCGTGAACAAATGTAATGTTTCCATAGTTATAATTGAATCACTTACACGACGAGTATTGAGCAATCTCAACATTTGTAAAAGCTCATGAGCAACTTGAATTAATTGTGAGTGGTATCTGTACAATTCTATGGAATTTCCAAAGAAGACTCAACGAACGGAAAGCAAACGCCTCTCGCCGAGACTTCCTCGTCGAACCCGAAATACCGCGGCTTCATAAGTGCTCTCGCAACGCGGAGATCCGATCGATATAAGTATGACCTAACAGTCACTCCGTACGTAACGTATAGTACGTACAGATGTGCAACGAGGCGGCATTTTCGCCAGTGCGGCTAAAGCTGCTGCAGCCTTTCGTCAGAGAAACGCCAAGATACGGCGCTCCTACATACTTCGCACTGCGTTATCCTTGCCGTCCAGCAGCCACTGCCTTTCTACATACACCAAGCGGTCGCGTTTTCCACGCTTGCCTCATACTTTCGTTTTGGATTTTTTTTTTCTGTCGTGTGTGCTTAATAAAAGCGAGTTGATAAGTAAAATTATACCGACACTTTGATTTAGCACTACAGAAGAACTGAATGAATGTATTAATATTCACGTGTCTTCCCAGTTTGTATTTCACGCGACAAGCTGGTTGAAAAAATAATATATCTGCAACTCGTGTATTACTAAAATAGTCACACCAGGTGTCTAACTCGCAAGCTTTGAATCAAGTAAATTATGAGCACTAATGATGGGGTTGTTGCGGAAACACAATGGATCACACGTCAATTACGGCCAAACAAATAAATACCGTACGTCCGAATTGCCAGGGACAACGAAAAACGCGGCTATCATTAAATGTGTACACTAGTCGTTCGAGAAGCGCGCGAGCCTCGCACGCACTGAACTGCGTCGCAAGCGCTACGGCATAGAGTGTACTCTCGGCTGTAAGTGCCCGCACGAACAATCTAATGCGTGTGGTTGTGTGTGTGTGTGTGTATATATACAGTCATACCGGTACTTTGGCGAGTGGCGGTTGGGGCGGCGGCACCGCCGGTCTCCTCGGCGATTGTATTTCCGGTTCCAGAGGCTTGTCGACGACCATGGGCTTCGGCACCGCGGCTAGCTTGTTCCTCTCCAACGGCTGGAAAGTCTTAAGGATCGGCACCTCCTGCTGCTGGTGGTGGTGATGGTGATGGTGATGGTGGTGATGATGCTGCAGCAGCACCTCCTGCTCCAATTCGCGTATCACTTGCTCTTGCTGTTGCGCGCGACACGGACAAATGCACACACATGTACATATAAATGGAATGTTGTACTATTTTTCTATTACATTGCGTGTGTATTGTTGTGGAACATGCACGCGGCTGAAAGAGGAGCACGTACTTTCTTTTCATTGTTGGGAGAGAGAACTCGTGCTACTCTACGGTACCAGTCGTGGTATTGCATGTGTGAAAAAAAAGAGCATACAGAGAGAGGGAAAGAGAGCGCGCTTTGACTTTCAGCGAGGCCGATAATTAATTTGCTATCTCGAGCGTAAGCGTACGGGTCTCGTGCTCGTGGATGTACATTTTTAACGTTTACTGTATACTACGCGTTTTTATTTGCTTTACATCAAGTTCTTTTGTCTTTTTATAACTATTTATGTAAAAAATCGGTATGAAAGCTAACGAACATTACAAAATCTTTGCAAATTAGTTGACAGCTATACCGATCTCGATACACCAATTAATGGGTTTTGACAGCTTAACGATTATTAAAGTAGAATATAACATTTCATAAAAGAATTTTCAACATAACTCTTAAGAGAGAGAGTTGGGAAAATCAAGTACAAACATACCATCGAGTGTCTTGTACTTATTTCCAGAGCGATTCTGGGACTCCATTAAAATCAGATTTCACTGAACTCAAATCTCACCATAAAAGCACCTGTTGTTAAATATACCGAATCTTATTATGCGTTTCGTATACAAAACCATACATTAAAGCCTTTCGCTGTTAATAAAACGGCGTACACTGCGTCAAAAGCAAAGCAGAAGTAGAAATGAAAAAAAAAAAAAAAAAAAAACTGGTAGCATCGAGCGAGTGGCGTGCGTCTCACCTACTACGGAACGCCATACGTATCCGCCGACTCACATTCGCGACGCTCGAAAGACTCGCCAATGTGTTTTCTCTCTTTCTTTCTTTTCCTCAGCCACTAGTCGCTGCTACTGCGATTCCCACGCTCGTATTATCTTTCTCTTACCATTTTCCCATTTCACCGTACGACGACGCAGTAGGAGGACAGCAGCGCCGATTTTTTCCCCTCCCTCTCTCTTTCTACCTACGATCTCGGGCCTCGTAGATTATCTCCTACGATGCTCCCCCTCCCCCGCACTCCGGCTTCCGCGAGCGCGACAGTGCGCCCACGAGAAAGATCATTAAGCGTGTGTGTTTGGCTGTACGCGTACGTTGTCGAGACAATTATTAGGGTAATTTGACTCACCTCTCTCTTTTTGATGGGCGAAAAACTATTGTTGCGCTGCTCAAGGAACATGTGCTTAGCGGCGGGGAAAGCCGGGGCTAGTTCCATCTCAGACACTAGGTCGAGGACGTAGTCGAAGCCGTTGGTTTCGGTGACGATTGCATCGCTGCCCTCCAACTGGTTCCACAACGTTATCGTCCAGCCACCGTTTTCCACGCCGTGGTTCTGGATCGCGAGATTGGCCAATTCCTCGCACGTTGTCCACGAGTCCACTGCACAAGTGGTTGTTTCACCTATTTTTTTTTTTTTTTTTTATTTTTTTATTAATCATGAAGCACCATTTCGTGAGGTCATTCAATATGTAAAGGGAAAAAGAAAAAATTTTGAAAAGTGGTTGAATTTACCGTCGTAAAAGCCGACACTAAGAGCCATATTCACTCTGTTCTTGTTAGCTCGCCACTCGAGGACCGAAGGTGGATATGTTCTTGGCACTTGTTGGACCGTCGTCTGGTTGTTGGTTATCGTCTTCAATAGGACTCTCTCGCCCTGCAAAAGCTTGCGCTGACAATACGCCTTGTAGCCATCATAAGCGTGATCGGACACGTATTTCAAGAAGTACTTGTATAGAGTACGGCTCGGGTGAAAAGCGGACAGACAATTCGACAAGAGAAGCCAACCCCTTTCCTTGTTAGCGTCATTTTCGTTCTTCCACGTTTGGTTGGCCAGTTGACAGAGTATCTCGTCGCGCAACTTTTCGTTGACGATACCCTTGTTGACGATGTAGTCGCCAAGGGCTTGTTCCCTCTTCCCGCTGAGATTGTTTTCGTTCATGAAACGTAGTATCAGCTTGAAGATCATCAGAGAATCTGTGTAGTCCTGATCGCGAGCTTTCGCCAAAAAGGGTGTCTTTATCGGCTCGCGTTTCATACCAAATATGTGACTCTTGAAGTAAATATTTGTGAACTTGGAGAACTGGTACTGGTCGATGTCCGACGGCAACACGTATACTTGAGTGAGTGGTACAACACTGCCGACCACCTTTATCAGATTCCTCTCGGTGTGCGTTGGTTGCCAGTCTAAAGGACAAAGATTTACTTAAACACCTTGAAAGTTTTGTAAGAATTTGTCAACTCACCGTCCAATTTGCTGTAGATGAAGGCAAGCTCAGCTGGTATCTCCAAATGATTGACCCCAGCCACGGCTCTGGAGGCCCGCTCTTGCTCCTCGCGTTGCTGTTTCGCCTTGGCCCGCTCTCTGCTCGCCCGTTCGATTTCAGCTCGTTTGGCCATCTCTTCCTTGAGAACTGTGAACTTTTCGCGCTGTTTTTTCCCTCGATAAAGCTTCTGAGCCATGAGAGCACCGCGTTTCAAGCCGCGGAACTTTTTGCGCTCGCGGTAGCCTCGGTAGACGGCCTGGAGCAGTACAGTGCTACGCGAGATGTTCAAGAAACGACGACGTGCGATGAAGCCTCTTGTGTATCTGATCACGAAAAATCGATGAGACTCGACGGAAATAAATTGCGTTGTTATTTTGGCAATAATCAATGAAACTCACCTTTGTACTGTAACAGCCGCTCGCTCCAGGATCAAAGCTCTATTGTACTCCAGAGTGCGTTCCAGGGATTCTCTCAAAAAGACCCTGGTCAATCCAAGCTGGTACTGCGTCTGGGCATCCTTGGGTGCGGCCTTCTCAAGAATAATCCGACACAGCTCCTTGTTGGGAGCGCCTCGTGGCAGGTTCGTTGGCACCAGGTAACGATAGCGATCGACAAAGTGTGCGAAAGGCAGGCGAACTGGGTAGCCCGTTTTACGGATGCGAATCGTTTCCAGCATGCCAGTGTAGCGCAGTTGCTCCAAAACACAGGGCATGTCGTATTTCATTGGAGCCTTTTCGTTGTTGGGCTTTATGCAACGGACGAACCAAGGATTGCACCTATGAACAATGATTGCTTTAATCATTCTTTCCTACGTTGAATTGATCGATCAGCGTCTCATTAAAAGGATAACATACAGAGACATGGATTCCAAAAGTTGTTGCAAACTATCGTGAAATCGCGCGGAAACTGTGGGCGTCCTCGGTTTCATTGTCACAAATCGACCGTTTGGCTTGTTTACGGTCTTGTTGGCTTCGTGGGCGTTTCTCACGTGTTGGAACATTTTGCTCACCATCTACGCAAATAAATTAATCACTTGCAAATGAATGCTTGAGAAAGTAAATTGAACCAAACTTTTTTTTCTGATAAACTTACATTTATTTTACTGCTGATCAAAAGTTCAACAACATCGGGTCTCAAGGTATCTCGATTCTTGTCCAGAAAGCCATCCACGTTGTACCAAACTTGCCCGGCGTAGTGCCTGATGGCAAACTCAGCTGAGTTCATTCGTGGTCTCGAGTACAGTTCACTCAACGCATGGTTGTAATGGCATTTTTCAAGGAAGGACAGATCCGATGCTTTGGGGAAATTACTTTCGTCATCCAGCAGATGCAAAATACCAACTGGCTTTTTAGCTATCAGGTGAATTATAGGTAGATTATCCTGTTGAAGAAATCAAAGCATTTAATAACACATATCAACTTTGAGAATTATAGCAGTAGAATTACTCACTGTGTAATTAATGGTCGTCCAGTCGATCTTCTCCTTGGCGTATTCTTGTTGCTCGAGCTTGAATATGTGCTTGTTGAAATAGAACTGTAGGTTCTCGTTGGCGTAATTTATGCACAGCTGTTCGAAGCTGTTCTCCTTAAAGTTCTCGAATCCAAAGATGTCCAGGATGGATATGGCCGCAGTTTGCTTGGTGCCCTTGTAGACTATGTGATTGACCCGTGCCACGAGCCACGAAAACAGCGAACTGTACAGAGCTTTGGCGAACGCATCTCGAGCGTCCAGGGCTTGATCGATGTTTAGAGCTGTCAGTACCCGCTCGTTTCTTGCTTCCTAAGATCGAATAGTACGCACGTGTTTGACATATTAAGGACAATGCGTTAGCCCGTCAGGTATTTGTAAGAGATAATGGGTCTTTTTAAGGCTCCAATAGTTTGAAAAACTTTGCTTGGACACACACACCGTGTACTCTGCCAATTACAAGTCGTTTGCAACTAAGTTGATGAAAGGAATTGGTTTTTTTATCATAAACTATTAAATTTCTAATCGATAAACGCCCAACGTGTCTCTCTGATGCCCAGTAAGCATACATTTACCGTCCCATCTAGAAATTGTACCCTCAACGTTGTAACGATTAGCAACGAGCACTCACCGTGGTCTTGGTCGTCAGGGCCCTGATAATTCCGTCCGAGCTGATTTGCAGTAGATGGGCTGCCCATCGAATCTCGGCGTCGGAGCCAATTTCCACGCCCTCTTGTCCATGCCTCATCTGCTTGCGAGTAAAGTACACGTTTCCAAGATGCAGTACACTGCTTAGTATCTTGAATATTGTGTCCTGTTCCTCGGAAGTGAAGCCCAAGACCTGCATGGCTGACAGCAGTGCTTTAAAGTCTTGCGTGTCGTTTTTACCGTCTATGTCGCAACTGCCACCCTGAAATCATTCGACCGATCTGTTAACCGCTTGTTCTTTGTTTAATCTTCTGCGATTTTTACCTGATTCAAGTAGAAATATTTATCCGGCGCGAGAAGTCCATATTTATCTCGAAGCTGCTGGTCGAGTCCCGACAGGAGTTCGTAAAAAACGTGGTAATTCCGCTCGTCCGTGGCCTGAGTCACGATCCTGCTCTTCTCTAGGAGATACTGCGTTACTCTTCCTCCGACGATTACACCACTGTGACGGAATTTTTAAAATTATTTCACCTAGGTTAAAAAAAAAAAAAATGACTCACTACAGTTAACGTCAACTCACTCTCTGAAGAAAACTTCGAGGTACTTCCCGAACCGGCTGCTGTTGTCGTTTTTCGGTGTCTTGGCATTGCCAAAGCTCTCGAGGAGAGGTGCAGCCTCGAGAATCTGCTCGGTGACGAGATTGCTGGGTGCTCGATTGACCGCGGCCAGGTACTGCATCACCAACTTTGTCGACTCGGTTTTGCCGGATCCGGACTCCCCGGAAATCACCACCACCTGATTGGCGCTCGAGTTGTTTATTGCACTGACTTGGCTGTACGCCGACGAACCCACCGCGAACAAGTGCCTGTAGGAATGACAAACGGTATATATGTATTATCCATTGTGCTGCCGTTTTGGATAGTGAACCTCGTGTTTAAAAAAAATTAACTGATTGTATGTTGATTTTTGGGTGACTCAAAGGATTATTTTTCGTTCATTCAACTCTTTGAGACTCGTGTAAGGTTGTGGTGCGATTCTTACGAAACATTTTTATGTTTGATTCGCGATAAAATTTCGCGTAGCCTATGAATCGCAACGTTATACTTCGAGACTGTGCATTACTTTGCACACTTTCACTTGTTTGCACGAAAATCAGAGGATGTATGCTTCGTGCAAAAATTATACAATAAATTTCAAAATACACAATCGCGAAGCAGAAAATTGTTGGATGTAACTATATCCTCTGCAAACTCAATTTATCTTGCCTTTCATAGATTTTTTCATTTCTCGAATTGTGATTTTAATAATGCACGGAAAAAAGCTTTAATTGTCGAAACAGAGAGGACCATTTCTTTCGCCGTCGGTATAAAAACAATATTTCAACTCCATTCCGTTTTCACGAGGAGATTTCACTTACGGTGGTAAAGTGCCGAGAATTCTCCCCTCGTAAAGCTTGACTTGGTCTATGCCGTAAATGTCAAACATCTTGTATGGATTGACGGCGACTAGGATACTTCCGGTGTAAGTCTGTAAATGGCAAACAAAAAATGTGCGTGAGGCAAAGCTGATGGAAATAAATGCAATTATTTCACGATACTCACATAAATGAGTTCTTTGTCGTAGCGAATTTTGAGATTCCAAAGAAGGGAAGCCTCGTTTAAGTCACTGTAAGTAGAAACAAGCGCGTTACATTATTGGTTTATTATTACAAGTGAGGCTTTTCAAAAAGAGTCAAATGAAGCCTTTACCTAAGCTGGATCATGTCTTCCACGCCATTTTGGCCCAAGTCTTGTCTGGGTTTAACTCCACTAAGATTTGTAAGCGTAAACACCTGGGGCTGTAAAAGTCATACACGTGTCTCTTTAACAAATTTCAGGTGAGTTATCGTTTTAAAGGTTACTAATACTTGTAAACGCGTGTTTGATTCCGTAAACACATTGTTAAAATCCTATTTTGCGGTAAATGAGTATCTCAAATTGTGATTGCATTGCCATGACTGTTTCAAAGTCTTCCAAAAATGTAGTTTGCGATTTTACGACGGGAATCCCCTACGTAGAGGTGGATGTAAAAATAGACGCTCTAATTTACAATCAAGTGTGACACATAGCCCGATACTCGCGTTGAAACTTAAGTGTGTCAACGACCGCACACGCGAACTCGAATCTCCCGAGAATTTCTAGAAATCGAAAGAACTAAAAAATCCGTGTCGTTCATCGGGACGCGTAACTCTTGTAAGCATAAAATACACCGCGGCACTTTCACGGAAGCGTCGCGAACACGCGAATTATCCGAATTATTCAACCTTTTATCCGCAACACAAACTTTCCCCGTGTATACATCGCGCGTACAACAACACTAGCCAAATTTGTTGCCCGATGAAATTTCGCGTGGTATACACCAAAAGCTACATTGAATGTCCCCGCATGATTTAGATGTTTATTAACATACATGCCATGGTGATAAATAGTCCGAGTTTGTACTGCGACACGGAGGCAAAATTACGAAAAGAATGCAACCCGAGGATGTCTATGCGTGTGCGCCTAATGTACGTGTATTTGCTATTGCACCTGAACTTTATAAGCGTGAGACTTAGATCTACGAGATGAAATTCTCGTGAGTCTGAATACACGTACTGCTTCATTTTCTCAGCGAATTAGCGTCTTTATTACTGCTCGCAATGGTTCATCCACAACTTGGCTATTTTTTTGCCATATATATTCTCTTATTACAACTTTTATACGAGATGCAACTCACCTTCCCTGCGATGACGGCTTGGACCGACAGGACGTTGGCGGCCCTGTGGTACTCCAAAACCTCTCCGGGAAGAACATGGCCGACTCCTGGGTCGAACCACACAAGCTCGCCCTGAAATGCACGGGAGATAATAGAAATCATGCTCTAACGAGCAAACTTTTACTGCGAAAAACTCGGAAGTACTCTGTAATTGGGAATTCGATTAATTACGTATGCGATTTTTCGTTACGTAAAATGTGTGTTAGATTGCGTGATGGGTAGGGAGATACGGTTAATAATCGAGAACAGCTCGACCGGGGCGATGTTAAGAAGGTGAAACTCATTGGAAAAGTGCGAATACCTCCAACGAACTCAGTGATTAACCGTATCTGCGTTATTAGATCGCACGTGTGCGGCGCGCGATGTACTTTTAAGGCCTGTTTTAATAAGCCCGTTTCTCATATAACTAGTGTCATATACAATACCCGTACGCGTTACAAAGAGTTTTTCAACCATTATTCTTCACGTCGAGCTCTAACATTCCATTAAAACTCTAAATGTCAGGCTAGAAGTGTTTTATTTGTCTTGTTTTTTTTTTTATTAGTCTTTAACGATTTAAATTAAACTTATTTATCAGAAGCCACGTATTAATTGTATGTCTTGATTATTTATTTAGATTGGCATTATACAACTCGAATTGTTTCCTGTATCTCTTTAATACTCGCCAAACTATTTTTGCTCCAGCGTAATTATCTTCTCTTGCCTATATATAAATATTTATCAATCGAGTTATATATTCACATAAACAAATGAAGATCCACCTGAATAAAAGATGTTTCATCCCATGTATGGATCTTAATTTTTTGGGCGTACAACTTGATTAAAAAAATCAATGGTAAAAAAAATAATAAAAAAATCGTATTTCATGCATCGTAAGATACTATTGAAACAATCCGTAAGCACACATGGGTATCAAACAGTATAGGAAGAAAAAGAGGAGTCGCACCGGTCTCGGGTTCCTAGCCCTGTACAGATTCGTCGAGTCGTCGTCCCCTACCACCGGCTGCTGCACCTTGCGCCTTCCAGTGCACAGGCCAAACACCGAGTAGGGTGGCATCTTTGTCGCCACCCGAACACCAACTTCCACCCCACCCTCCCTCGCTCCGTTGGGGCTCTGGATCGATTTGTTGAGGCTCTTGGTAGCAAAGTCGTGTCGGGGCCTGTCGATCCTCAGCGGAATGTACGAGGCCCTCCTCCCCTTCTTCACGTACGAGGGCAGGCTCTTGGACGACCCCGTTACCATGCTCGGGTCGCCCTCCTCGACCCCCGCTGGTCCGCGCACCTCGTACGCCGACTCGTACCAGTGGCCGTTCTTCGAGCGAGCCGTGCTACTCGACCCCCTGACCGAGCCGTATCTACTGTCTGCCTCGTCGTCGTTCTGCCTCCTCCTCACCCGACCCACCGACTTGACCGCCTCCGCGTTGTCGATGATCCGGCGCCGGGACATGGTCCTCTGCGGCAGGTTCGGCATGGAGCCCCTACAGTCCAGCATCCCATAGTTGAGCGGATCGCTCGCTGGATCGCGGATACTGCGGTACGTCTTCCGGACGCGACTGAGGGTCGCCTCGCCTATGGAGCTCGAGTCCCCGTTCCGTAAGGCGTGCGGCACCGGCGACGACGAGCCCACCACGCTGGGCACCGATATCTTGCGCCTTCGTATCCTACCGTACACCCGTGGCACGTCCTGTCTGCTGGTGACGTCCTTGCCGGTGCTGCTCGCGATCTTTGGCAAGGTAGAGGGTCTCGGGACCTGCATGGACCTGCCGTCCGCGGGGTTCCTCCACCGGTCGGAGGCTCGAGTGGCCGGGGCGTTTTTCACGAAGCACCCAGCGTGCCTGGACTCGGTCGCGCAGCTCTGCCTGCGCCCTTGCGGCTCGTCCGTCGCGGTGCTCGACGTCCGCCGGATGATTTCCTGCCTGGAGATGCGCGTCAGTGGCGCGAACATCATGGTCGGCGCGTCCCGGTCCTTGCCGCTCGACCTCCGACACACGGATGGTAGGGTCCTCGGCCTGGGCGGTGGGTCCTCCCCAGGGGGGGTGGGTGCGCGCTTCTTCGTGAGCATGAGCGAGGAGCGCCTCCATCGCTTCCTCAAGGATTGCGTGAGCCTCGTCAGAGGGTCGTTGTGGTCCTCCACCTTGGAGCAGGTTCGGCGTATGATGTCCTTGCGGGAGACCAGGGCGAACGGCTCCCTTGGCAGGCTGTGGAAGCTCTCGGACTTGACTCCGCTCCTCTTGGGCTGCTCTGGTTTCTTGGGCCCGCTCTTTCGGGCAGTTCCGTACAAGCTGGCCGTGGACAGTGGCGAGTCGGGTTGGGCTGGTCTGACGATGGCAGCTCCTTCCGGCTTCGCTGCCGTCGCTCTTCTCGCACCCCGGGTGTCTCCGGCCGGTCTCATCGCGGTACTATTGCCCGTTTACCTTGCGATCGAGTGGCCAACGGGTTTGCTGATGCTTCTCATACTGGTGAATCGTCTGTTTTTTTTTTTTTTTTTTGTTTTTTTTATCGACCTTGGTGACGGACGGATTTTTTGCCGTAGACGATTTTTTGTCCATAGAATTCCAAGCCGATCGGTTAATTTCGAGAGTTTCGAACACGCAACGCTGATGAATTATTTCGCAACGTGACTGCAGCGGTTAATTTTAGAAAAGGAATTACGTAAGTCGTCCAGAGTGCAAACGGAGTACGCGTCTCTCTTGGACGCGAAATCACATTGTCTCTCAAACGGTCGCAATAAGTTGATATTTTCCAATGAAAACGGGCTCTTTGTTTTATTTCCCTTTCATTCGAGCTCCGACGCCATCGTCACAGCGCCTCTGAGGTGATAAACGCACACACGATAATCCCGCGATCGTCGTTGCACAATCACGTTGGTCTCTGTTGTAACGCACTGCACGGGTGGTGTATAGGCGTACCTGTGTTTTCTCCGGCCCACGCTTGCCCATGCATTATTACGATTCGAAACAAGGAACTTTAGTTTTTCTCACAGCTTTGGAAATCCCTTAAGAGCATCCACTAAAACAAACCGAAAGCACCATTTGTCCATACGTCCAGCGTCGATCTCCGGAGCCAAGGGACATCCACTTTGTTGCCATTCCGAGCACGTGGGCCAAAAGTCGTCCAAAGGAGTGGCGGTTGGCTGGCAATCGAGACCACTGGGTCGCTCGCCAAAATCACTGTCACCCACGGAATTTGGTTAACGGTTCGCTCGAGCTGCACGCGCTTCGCATACGATTAGACCGGTGACTGACGCAGGAGAGGCAAAACCTGTGGCGACGATCGCCTTTTCCACGTGGGCGATTCGCTTGAGGAGTTGATGTCTCGCGAAAGGTCGCCTCAGTCCGAGCGGTGAAAGGGGGCGAGGCTCCTCGTCGCGGGTAACTTGTTTTTCTCGCTCAATAACTCCCCATTGTGATAAACTCCATGCGGTTACTTCCTTTTCACTGCAACTGTCGGGTCAACGAACGGTACAGAAAATCGATGCCGCGACCGGTGTAAGATCATCGCTTTACAACTGCGTGGAGCTCATATTGATACGTTGGCGATGAGCACTGGTTTTTCGAGCACGTGTCCAGTCATCGGAACAAAGTCGGCAGTGAAAGTTTTTATTGTTAATGGCTGTACTCCACTTGTAGCCACACGCACAGTTTACCGATTCCTCCCGCGCATCGTGTGTGCTCCTTATCTCCAGCTCCGGCGATCTTACTTCTTCATGGTCTGAAAAACTCGTGCTCCAATCATCATGTCCATGACTCGATTAGACCTCGAAACGAATTAACTGCGTTCTGATCTCGATTCCTGTCTGTGAGGTTTCTCGGTATTTAAATCCGATTTTCCCTCTGACGGACTTGTATACGTGCACCGATCGACGCGTTCCACGCGCACAGAGAACAAAAGCATTGAGTAACTTCTAGGTAGTTTCACTGATGCATTTTTCCATTTTTTTTTCGTACTACACAATGGAATCAGATCAACATTGGATGGAACAAAAAATAAAAACAGAGGGAAAGAGCTCGACGATCCTTGTCTGCTCAATCAGATCCAACGTTCACTGACTCCATGCTAATGGCACTCTCCTCCAGCAGAGGGTACTTTCAAAACCGCAGACGCGCTTTTTTGCGACTCGCGGCTGAAACTAACGAGCGATCGGCTCGCGTAGGGCTTCTTTTGAAAACAAAAAACCCAAAAAAAACAGGGGGAATATCCCCCGCTTCCTCGGCTAAATTTCTCCTGCAGCTAACCAGCTATTATTAGCAAGGCATCCGGACACTTGTTATCGCCGTTCCTCCGACCGAGCACACTCGAAGGAAAGTAGATGTCGAGCCCAAAGTCCCCCCCCGTTCTCCCTGGTAATAAACGCGCCTTCTGTGTCTTTACGAGTTTACGAGCCCTAAACTTGCGCAAGGCAACGAAAGGAGCGTCGAACGCGAAACCAATTGCGCGTGGTTTACGATTCACCGCAGGAGTATCCTTGCGGCAGGATGCTTGGCGCGCTACTGCTAAACTACTAGTGCGGGTGGGTGCATCGCTGCCTCTCGTTCCTCGCTTTTTCGCGCTCCTGCCCCGTAATGGATGCTACATGGTCAGTGGCGTAAACGCACGCCGAGCAGAACCGCGAGCGGCTGGTTTCGTTTCATAATTAGCGCTTGGCGGACTAATTGCGCGGCCGTTCCCTTCCTTTTTTGCGCAATACGCCCGCAACTGCGCATACCACGGACGTGTGGACCCTGTCTCGCTTCCTCGGTGTTTTTGTCGAGCCGATGCTGGTGCTTTCGTTGCCGATTTTTTCGATTTCATCGGAGAAAAGGACGCGAGTGAGACGCCTCTGGGATCCAAGCGCTTCGGGGTGGAACCAACCGAGACAGCCTTACCTCCTCCTCCTCCTCACGTGAATTACACGTTAAATGCATGATGCTCCGTGTGTTTGCAAAAGTGCCGGGGGAGGACGCTATTTTTGGAAAATCGCAGCCTACCGTCGCTCTACCTTGAATCGGTGAGTGTGTGGTTATTAGTCGCTCGGTTCCATCGGTCAAAGGAGTACGTCCGAGGAACGTATAGCGAGAGGCACTTGTGCCATCGATTCGTTGATCACCCTCGTTGACTCTCGATCTACATGCTCATCAAGAGTCAGATATCGCTATCAGTTGGCTGCGTTTCCTCAAAATTAATTCCCAGCGTGTATTTTTTGTACTCGAGACGAAGGATCAACGTGTCGTAAAAAACGTATTGTGAAACTTGCGTTGGGCGACAATGAAAAAAATGATCTCCCTTACAATCGTTGGTTTTCCTCGAGTCCCTTGTCCGAGAGTATTTTATTGGACGAGCTGTTTTGCGCATTTCTTGCGTGCGGCGCAGTCGACTGTACGGGTAAACACAACTCGCGACATGGTGTAGCGCGTGTGTATTATTACGCAGAGTCGAGCGCGCGAGATGACGTAAGATGGGGAGCGGAGGAGCTGTGTGTGTACCGTATACCTAAAGCGTAGGAGTTCCGTAAATTATCCTCCTCCTCTTCCTCGGAGTATTATATCCTTTGCTTGGTGTCACAGTTTCTCGAGCACGTCGCTGAAAATATCTGGATAATGACACGTACGCGCCGCCATTTGGGGCCATTAGAGTAATTGATACGCGACGCGGCTCCAGTTTGTAACGTCTTTCATGCGCTTTCGTGGGGAATTTTCCTCGCGAAGTTTGGAAATCATCTCGACGTTTATCGTCATTTCATAAACAGCGTATCCCCTAATCATTTAAATCGCTGTGCACTTAAATATTTCATGCTAAACACATTTTTTTTTAAATTCGCATGCGTCTTTGCACATTGGAATGATAATTAAATTATTGTACGAGTTTTGAAATGCAAGAAATTAGTACTGGCTGACATTAAATATAATTTTGTTTTATTCATCATTTTTTACCACGTGCATCGTAAAGTTGGGAAAGAAAGTTCTTTAACTCGAGTGTATAGTGATTTATTGATTATTTTTGAAACAACACAGTACTGGACGATCTTATGTAATGAAATTCGCAAAGTTGCGTAAGAACGTCTTCATGAAAATACCGTACATCAGGACTGAAAACTCGCGGCATCCCTGCACCGTAATCCTTGCAAAGAAATTTTAACAATACTTGTGGCCAAACGAAACGAAGGGCCATTAAAGGCAAAGCTGTTTTTGCGAAGGTAACAAAATTCTTTGGCTCCCGCGATTAAATGTTTTTTCGAGACAATGGCAGCAGCTACACCAGCTGACTATATAGTTACAGGCGCTGGACACATGCGTCCACGCGGAATCATCGTTGTACCGCAAAACCCGCGAGGGAAAACTGTCGGTGGATTGACCCAGTGCTTACGGGTACCCCGTACTGTACACTCGGACAGTTACTGCTGACGTCGCTGGTACGCGCTGGAAGTGAAAGAGGAATTCGCGTATGGGGCACTGACTGCGCGTTTGTTTGTTTGGAAAGTGCGCGCCGGATTCCTCGCGTGGACGCGCCGTCTGGCAAAGTATGCGCGTGACGACTTGACGATGATAGTGCTTCTTTTTTTTTTTTATTCATTTTTATTTATTTTTTTTTATCGTGCAAGAATTTTACATGCCATCACTGCTCGTCCTCTCGTTTGCGTATCGATTGTGTAAGAGCGCGAGGAATGCAGCCGCCGCAGGAATTCGTGGGTCTTTCAATTGGTAAGTACAATGTTGGTAGTATTGCGTCAAGATTCGTAATTCATTCGCGTGCAGTTGATTTTTGGTACGTTTTAAATTTAATGACGTGTGGTAGCGTGTACGTATCATCAAGACGCACGAGTGAATTTTAACATTTTGACCCAATGATCTTTTACACTTGTTTTTTTGCATAATTTATTACGGTAAAAAATCGAGAAGAGACTCGATATTCTAAATTTTCCAAAATTTTGGAAAAGAAAACGATATTTCGATGAAATTCAGTAGTGCGTCCAACGTAGCCTACACCCAAATGAGCGTAGTATTTTGGATAGGTCGAGAACGCAGAGAAACAGTTAACCGCAATGAAATATATTCATCCCGAGGTACATGTAACGGAAACCTCCCGATTCGCGTCTCAATTAGTTTCCCAAAAACTTTCGAAGACAACATCAAACCAAACACATTCAATTAACTCATCCAAGTGCGCGTATACGCACGACAATCAATTAAAATTCCCCGACCAAGTGTACCCACCTATTGTGAGATCCTTATACTTGGCATCGACGCGCGCGTCAACTACTCAACGAGCAAACAGCCTGACCTCGGTAGCTATTCGAAAAATCCCATCGTACCCACTTTTACGTTCATTCCCATCTTGTACAACCGCAGTAAAGTCGTTCCCTCCTTGGGGCAAAGTACGAAAGATGGCAAAGAGGAATAGAAATTTCATAACTGCGTGCAGTACAACGTATAGGATTGCCATTGCATGTGCACGTGTTTGCACACATGAGATGATGATACCCACTCACGAGGGAGGGTGCCGTTATCGGCCAATGACGCGCGTAACTGACGCGGCAGATGCGGGTTGTCGCGTGGACAGGTCCTGTGGGCATCGGCGTCTCCTCTCGCCGCAGAGTTGCCGGTGAAAGTAGTAAATAACTCCTCGACGTAACGATATGACGGCCCACCTCCCCCACTCCTTATAATAACGTCGATAATAGCGCGAGGAATGCCGAAGCAGTCGTCGACTGCTGCTGCCGTTGCTGCGAGTGAAACGGATTTTTAGCGAAACTTTCATTCCCACGAGCGCGTGCAACTCCTTTTGTTGTTTCCCTTTTTTTTCTTTTTTTTTCTTTCTACAGTCACGTTCTTTCTTAGTGTTATTTTTTTTTTGTAAAGTGTACACATCCGTACTGTGTTTATAAAGTGGTCGGTTGTTGCCGGAATCGACTTTTGTGGATGACAAGTGCCCATTATGTTTATGCATCGTTCTTTTATTTCAGAACTTTTGATTGTTTTTTTTTATTTTTTTTCCTCCATTGCTTAAAGTATATTTAATTTATTTTCTTTACTTGTAGCTTCCGTATCGAAATTTCATGCTAACAATTATATGTTTACTCAAAAGATTAAATGAAACTTAATTTAAGTGTGTCTCGGAAAACAAAAAAGAAAAAGTTTTGTCCTTTAACGAGTTAATGACTTCGTCGACATGATATTCATCTTTAAATTATATATAGGGGACGAATAGAAATAGTACTTGGAGCTTGGGTACTCACCTTTTGCCACTCGGTATGCATTGTTCCACTCAGTCTGTTAAATGGCACCACGACGAAGATACGCCCTCATTTTCTCTTCTCATAAGCCGCTTATGGTCTGCGCGCCACTTTGGTCCACCAACGGCTGGAACACAAAAGCTGTACTGAGCATACCATATGCAGATGCTAATGAGCCGCTAAGTGAAATAATAAACGCTCGGGTATTATTGGTAGGCTGCTTTTAGTGGTCATGAGAAACGCATTTTTAAATAAATTTACAGCTCAAGAGGTCGGGCTCAACGCGTGTTGTACTTGGTGTTTTGTACATTCAAGGCACGTGTGTTGATTGAAAAAGGTCAACGGTATATTGACAAGCTGTGGCACACCTAACTTTCATAAATATTTTAATGCGGGGGATAGCTTTTAACAGTTTCTCTCAGTGTACTTGTGTGTTTGCATTCGCTAAATTATTTTTATTATATCTCCAAGCGTACTTATTATTTATATTTAAAGGGCAATCAGTTCCTACTCTAGTTAGCAGTAAATTTAAAAGTCGAAGATGGCATCAATGTCTTTCTAATATACCTACTTTGAGTAAGTGACCCTGGGATGCTCTAGTCTGACAATTATAGAAAACAAGTATAACTGGTCTAACATGCGGTTTTATGTAAAAATCTGGAAGGGTGGATATAATGAAGCAAGTTATAAGTGAATAATTGTTAATTTTCACGGCACAAAGAAAAATCATTATTAATTTTAAAGACGAACATTTATAGTAACGACAAAGGTTTAGAAGGATAAGTAATAAGTTTCGTGACGTAATAGCGAAACAGATCATAATTTAAAACAAAGATTGGTTTATAACTTTGGTTGTATCAAAACGGATAATGGAATGTCATCCTAATAAAAACGGAGTACAAAACGTGATCAGGTCATTCTTGTAAATATTATTCGAGCTGTCATCAGAAATTGACACCTGGTCGTAAAAAAAGGTGTTGGACATTATTAGCACAAATCTAATAATGATAATGTTCATGAAAAAAAGGAATATTTTCAATGACATAAAAGTACAGACTTAAAGCTGTAACAACGAAAGCCATAGGCGAAACAGACAATTTCATACCCAATGGGTGTAACTCGTAAGTATACGAATCCAGTCAAGATCAAAGTTAATAATCGTTTTTGGATCAGAAAGCGTATTGAACAGCATAGTAAAAGAAGACAGAAAATTTTTGTAAAATTAGGAAATATATCAACTTAGAGGTGTTCAGTATAATAATGAAAATTAAATGAGTAAAAAAGATCTATTACCAACTAGTATTGTAAAACTAAAGATCTTTAAGATGTAGTTGCAATACTAACGAAACAGTATAGTTTTTAACATTTTACTGGTCGAATAGTTGATAGATCGAGTTACAAAAGACTCGTAATAAATGTCTTTTATCAAAGATGAACTGAACACGTAAGCCAAGGAAGGTGAGAAGACAAAAGTGCTCTTGATCTCAAAAGCTTTATTGTCCAGTGGATGATAAAAACTTATGGGACATTTGTACTATTGGCTTCTTTGTTTTAGTGATACAGTCATCAATGGGCACCTGCTTTTCGATTGTTTTCATTTGTAATAAAAAGAAATCAGAGAAAGAAGATCAGCTGAATGAGCAATGACTGGCCGAATACCAGGTGGAACGGCAAAAACAACAGTATAAACACCATTCACAAAATACACTCTAGTTTTCTATAGAGCAGCTTTGATACGATCAACAAACTACCTGAGGTAATGTATACTAAAGAGATAAAAAAATTTTCACCACTGTCTTGGTAAGCGCTACCGTTTTCGAGCATTTTTCAACCTTGAATTATATTCAACACCCGTGTATACAAAGCAGCCAGTACTATCGTGCAGTTATAAAAATAGGTACACGTACATAGAGGAATGGTATGGGTACACAGACGCAACATGCGTGCAGCTCCACCGATTGTCACTTATAATTCTAACGGATTGTATTCCGGCCTGCATATCATTGCCCTGCACGCGACTTCCGGCTCTAGTTTATACACATGAGCGTACACGTGAGCATATACAAGTACGCTCGCCGCAAAAAGTAGTCTGAAACCCACTTGGCGTACATATACAAATTCACAAATATTTACGATTTGGCACGAATAACGATCAAGCTCGTGACTCTCGGGTGCAATGCGCTTTGAATTATCCGGTACTTGTCTTCCTTTCTCGTAGTTTTCGAGAGTTTAGATTACAATGTGGAGCAGTTCTCTTTGCTCGATAGTGTGTACGCTCATACCGATCTCTCCCAAAGATTAACTCGAAACGCGTACATCCCCAAACAGAACAGTATGAGTACCACTGATAAAGCTTGTCGGCTGGATAAATCGGGCCTTTCAAGGCCACGTGCACGGAATCGCTGATCTATTCCCCTTCTTCCTTCCCCCTCCCCCTTTTTTTTGCCGCACAAACTTGATCGCGGCGGTGACAAGCAAGCTGCGCTTCGCGTCCGCTTTACATACATTTCCGTGCATATACGCGTGCATCGCAATCAAACACATTCCTCTGTCGCCAGTCGACCAGGTCACTTCGCTGCAGTGGTCATCGCTTCATAAGAAGAACACTTAAACGGCCCTTATCAGAGCCCTGGCTCTCTACCCTATTGGTTCGGACCTCTTGAAGAGAACGCCGAAGCTGCATAGTCGTCCTCCTGCCACCGAGCCTCATCCGGGCTCGTCAACCACTACGGATGGCCTCCTTTCCAAACGGATCAAAGGCTAGAAAACTCAAGGACCAGCCAAGTCCTACAGTCGAGCTTAATTATGAGCAGGTCCACCGCCGCACCATGGAATCTATAACTGACGATCCTGATGCTCACATGGACGAGTGCAACTCGTTACGCTCCTCCATCGACTCCTCTGCATCCGACTCCCGACGTAAGCACTTCGTCACCTTAGTAGCGGAGCTTCAGGCTACTATTACGAGCCTCAGAGAACAACAGGCGCAATCAAACGCCATCATCTCGGAACTAAAAACAACCATCGCATTTTTAACCATTGAAAATTTGTATCGAGGCCGCCTGTGTTGGTACACATTTTTGCTCCTGATCGTTAGGAGCATCCGTGGACTCGTTAGTACACTCCATAGATACCTTTGAAAATCGTATTCTACATTAACGATTGATTTGACGCATTTAACAACCAGAATCAATTGTTAGTAGTTGAAAGATAGTTGTAAAACGTGTAAGTGGGTATTCGTACGCAGTTTCGCTACTTTTGTAAATCATAAGCTGTTACGCGTAGAGGAATGCGGACTTGCAATACATCCAAGTGAAAGCAGTCGGGCAAAAATGTATATATACATGGGCTTAATTTATGTGTCATTGTTGCGGTAAATGGACGTAAGTATCGCACCGGAGCGGTGATTTGAACGCCTTGCCCCGAATTCCGCTGCGTAACTTGAGCCCCTTGCCGCGAGCTGTCAGTTCAAAACGATAAAACACCTAGTGCGTGTTTTTCGGTACTTTCAGTCATAGTGGTCGAAAAAAAAAAAGATGACCAAGTTCGTAGAATTTTGTTACTCGTCTCGTAATGTCGTATCGATTAATGCGCACACGCTTATCAGGGAAGAGAGTGCAGTTATCCGCGGATTACCGTACAGTGCACAAAAGAAAAGTAAAGCAAAAAAAAAAAAAAACAAAAAAAAGGGGGGGATCCAGGTCAGGAATTCTCTCTCCTTTTGCGCGCGCTTGCGTAAAGCATCATATCGAACGACCTTTATTTCACAAAAGCGCGCCGTAAGCCGTTAAGTGCGGTGCTGCTCGAGGGAAAAATGATCCTTCGCCGGGGAGTTTTGATCGAGCAGTAATTTCCCCGAGATTCCGAGAAACGCCTCTTTGCCCTGCCCTCGCGCCTTGACTTGTTTGCACTTCCTTGACTTGCAAGTGTATACGTGTACTCCGTACAGTGTGGTAGCTCGCGCGTGTTTGCTCATACTAGACCGCTCGAGAGGCAGATAACGCCAGACAGGGGAAAAAAAAAGAGTACACGAGATGGTAAGGCAAAGGCGGGACTTTGGGAGTAAGTAATGGACGCTTAAGAGCTTACCACCGTTCTGGACAACCGAAAACTGTGTCATGCCTGTGAGTTATTTAGTAGTCGATGCATGTATGTATATTTCTCGTCTGAGGCCACTATGTCTGTTGGGGACAAAGAAACTTGTTTATACTTCGGTTTTTTTTTTTTTTTTCTTTTTTTTTTTTTTTTGGCTTATTACAATGTGTGCCATGAACGTTGATTCAGACGCAAAATGGCACACCAGCAAATCCAGAGTTTAATACTATGTTTTAGGCTTGTACTTCGTGTAACCATTTAAAATATATTTGGTACACAAAAAAGGTATTTTACGTCAACTCCTCTGATCTCGAGATGATCTTGCCAGTATATGCGTACCCGTAAACTAGGCGATACGATCGCACCGCGTTTATTGAGCAACTATTGGAGTGAGTCACTGCTGAAGCACAACCATTCTAGCGGTCATCGATCATACCTCGCGCTTTTCTACGGGAATTTATACACGTATAAATGTGCGTGATGTCGACACAACTTATAAATAGTACAGCCAAAGAATAACGCGTAAACGAAACACGCGCGTCGGAAATCTATTAGTGGCCTTGTTACACATTTTTTGCGCGCCTTTTCTCCTCCAACATCCAATCTCTAGCTGCTCTCGAGATTACGGTCCACCGCGTGATATGTAAGTATATACACGTGGTTGAGAAAGCACTCGTAAATACCCATTGCGCTGGTATTTGGATTTATTTAATCGATAACCAATACAACCATGGGTAACACTGTGTCCCGCAAACGCGCAGCCTACAAATGCTGGTTTTTAGTTTCTCGGTACAGAGCTACCACTTGATTAACAATCTTTGGTTCTTCCCCCCCGAAGCTGCACCGATATCTTATCGATTGGGATGGAGGGGAAAAAAAAATTTTGACGTATCACTGTAAACCCAATGGTTCGCGCGTCTTAACGTACA